AAGTTGCATTATACTGGTTTACATGAAAAAACCCTATTAAGTTGCATTATACTGGTTTACATGGAAAAATCCCTATTAAGTTGCATTATACTGGTTTACATGGAAAAATCCCTATTAAGTTGCATTATACTGGTTTACATGGAAAAATCCCTATTAAGTTGCATTATACTGGTTTACATGGAAAAATCCACATTAAGTTGCATTATACTGGTTTACATGAAAAAAACCCTATTAAGTTGCATTATACTGGTTTACATGAAAAAAACCCTATTAAGTTGCATTATACTGGTTTACATGGAAAAATCCCTATTAAGTTGCATTGTACTGGTTTACATGGAAAAACCCCTATTAAGTTCCATTATACTGGTTTACATGTAAAAAAAAAACCCTATTAAGTTGCATTATACTGGTTTACATGGAAAAATCCCCATTAAGTTGCATTATACTGGTTTACATGAAAAAAAACCCTATTAAGTTGCATTATACTGGTTTACATGGAAAAATCCCCATTAAGTTGCATTATACTGGTTTACATGAAAAAAAAACCCTATTAAGTTGCATTATACTGGTTTACATGGAAAAATCCCTATTAAGTTGCATTATACTGGTTTACATGGAAAAATCCCTATTAAGTTGCATAATACTGGTTTACATGGAAAAATCTCCATTAAGTTGCATTATACTGGTTTACATGAAAAAAACCCTATTAAGTTGCATTATACTGGTTTACATGGAAAAATCCCTATTAAGTTGCATTGTACTGGTTTACATGGAAAAATCCCTATTAAGTTGCATTATACTGGTTTACATGAAAAAAACCCTATTAAGTTGCATTATACTGGTTTACATGTAAAAACCCCTATTAAGTTGCATTATACTGGTTTACATGGAAAAATCCCTATTAAGTTGCATTATACTGGTTTACATGGAAAAATCCCTATTAAGTTGCATTATACTGGTTTACATGGAAAAATCCCTATTAAGTTGCATTATACTGGTTTACATGGAAAAATCCCTATTAAGTTGCATTATACTGGTTTACATGGAAAAATCCCTATTAAGTTGCATTATACTGGTTTACATGGAAAAATCCCTATTAGGTTGCATTATACTGGTTTACATGTACAAATCCCTATTAAGTTGCTTTATACTGGTTTACATGTAAAAACCCCTATTAGGTTACATTATAGTGGTTTACATGTAAAAATCCTTATTAAGTTGCATTATACTGGTTTACATGTAAAAACCCCTATTAAGTTCCATTATACTGGTTTACATGTAAAAACCCCTATTAAGTTCCATTATACTGGTTTACATGTAAAAACCCTATTAAGTTGCATTATACTGGTTTACATGAAAAAAACCCTATTAAGTTGCATTATACTGGTTTACATGGAAAAATCCCTATTAAGTTGCATAATACTGGTTTACATGGAAAAATCCCCATTAAGTTGCATTATACTGGTTTACATGGAAAAATCCCTATTAAGTTGCATTATACTGGTTTACATGGAAAAATCCCTATTAAGTTGCATAATACTGGTTTACATGGAAAAATCCCCATTAAGTTGCATTATACTGGTTTACATGGAAAAATCCCCATTAAGTTGCATTATACTGGTTTACATGGAAAAATCCCTATTAAGTTGCATTGTACTGGTTTACATGGAAAAAACCCTATTAAGTTGCATTATACTGGTTTACATGGAAAAAACCCTATTAAGTTGCATTATACTGGTTTACATGTAAAAACCCCTATTAAGTTGCATTATACTGGTTTACATGGAAAAATCCCCATTAAGTTGCATTATACTGGTTTACATGAAAAAAAACCCTATTAAGTTGCATTATACTGGTTTACATGAAAAAACCCTATTAAGTTGCATTATACTGGTTTACATGTAAAAACCCCTATTAGGTTACATTATAGTGGTTTACATGTAAAAATCCTTATTAAGTTGCATTATACTGGTTTACATGTAAAAACCCCTATTAAGTTCCATTATACTGGTTTACATGTAAAAACCCCTATTAAGTTCCATTATACTGGTTTACATGTAAAAACCCTATTAAGTTGCATTATACTGGTTTACATGAAAAAAACCCTATTAAGTTGCATTATACTGGTTTACATGGAAAAATCCCTATTAAGTTGCATAATACTGGTTTACATGGAAAAATCCCCATTAAGTTGCATTATACTGGTTTACATGGAAAAATCCCTATTAAGTTGCATTATACTGGTTTACATGGAAAAATCCCTATTAAGTTGCATAATACTGGTTTACATGGAAAAATCCCCATTAAGTTGCATTATACTGGTTTACATGGAAAAATCCCCATTAAGTTGCATTATACTGGTTTACATGGAAAAATCCCTATTAAGTTGCATTGTACTGGTTTACATGGAAAAAACCCTATTAAGTTGCATTATACTGGTTTACATGGAAAAAACCCTATTAAGTTGCATTATACTGGTTTACATGTAAAAACCCTATTAAGTTGCATTATACTGGTTTACATGTAAAAACCCTATTAAGTTGCATTATACTGGTTTACATGGAAAAATCCCCATTAAGTTGCATTATACTGGTTTACATGGAAAAATCCCTATTAGGTTGCATTATACTGGTTTACATGGAAAAATCCCTATTAGGTTGCATGATTACACTGAAGTCCTTGAAACTGCTGAAGTCCTTGAAACTGCTGAAGTCCTTGAAACTGCTGAAGTCCTTGAAACTGTTGAAGTCCTTGAAACTCTTGAAATCTTGAAACTGCTGAAATCCTTGAAACTGTTGAATCCTTGAAACTGTTGAATCCTTGAAACTGTTGAATCATTGAAACTGTTGAATCATTGAAACTGTAGAAATGTCTGAAAGAGCTGAAGTCCTATTAAAATGCATGGGCCTATTAAAATGCATTGCAGAATTCTCAATGCAGATTTTTGTCCGATTGCGGAAAAACCGGAAATCGCTGAAGTCCCAAAAGTAATAGCAATAATCTCCCAAACATGTGGAACGTTTTGATGTATAACTTGTGGAAATTGTTGAAAATGTGAAAGCTGTGAAACGTGTCAAAAAAAATGACGGAATAAAGAAATACAAAACCAATGGTTGACTGCGGAAGGTTCCGCAGTCAATCAATAACTCCCATCGATGGGGAGTCGTTTGGAGAATGGGACTTCATGGGCAATTTCTGTTCATAATGTCGGTGGAAGTAAAACGAACCAAAACGTTTTCAAAAGTCTGTCTGGAATAGATTAATATGGACAATGTAAATGGCTGATAAACTACTAAGCATTCACTGACTTCGGAAGAATCAGTTTTTGCAGTGGCCTCTTGGTCTGTGATGCTACAAATACAAAGTGTGTTGGTTCTGTTGCAGAAATAGGACTTGTATAGACATCTGAATGAATATTAAATGGTTGGTGGTGTGGTTAGCTGATAGATGGGATACATGTTTTTGGAAATATCAAAGGACAATATTCTCCGGGTCAGAGCAGATTGTGTTGAGGGATAAAATTGAACTGGAGGCCAAAGAGGTTTAAAAAGTCTTTAAAAACAAGCGATGCAGCGGAGACTGGGAGCAGGCGGAAAGAGTAGTTATCTCGGAGGACTTTACAAAGCAGCAGATTCGCCAACACAGATCAAAGAATCAAACAGTTCAAACAGGAAATGCATGTTACGATAAAATGCAAATGATAACAAACACAGAGACGTTGGTCCATACGGAGCAGAGACCGATGTCCGGAAATGGTGCAAACTGGAAGCAGTGACGACGTGAGACTTAAACAGCTGCGGTATTTTCAAAACACTGTAGCTCGAGGCCAGACTAGAACCAGGAAGTAGCATCGTATTAGTCCAGACGAGAACCGGGAAGTAGCATCAAATCAGTCCGGACGAGAACCGGGAAGTAGCATCAAATCAGTCCAGACGAGAACCGGGAAGTAGCATCAAATCAGTACAGACTAGAACCAGGAAGTAGCATCACATTAGTCCGGACAAGAACCAGGAAGTAGCATCTCATTAGTCTGGACGAGAAACGGGAAGTAGCATCTCATTAGTCCAGACGAGAAACAGGAAGTAGCATCTCATTAGTCCAGACGAGAAACAGGAAGTAGCATCTCATTAGTCCAGACTAGAACCAGGAAGTAGCATCGCATTAGTCCGGACAAGAACCAGGAAGTAGCATCTCATTAGTCTGGACGAGAAACGGGAAGTAGCATCTCATTAGTCCAGACGAGAAACAGGAAGTAGCATCTCATTAGTCCAGACGAGAAACAGGAAGTAGCATCTCATTAGTCCTGACTAGAACCAGGAAGTAGCATCACATTAGTCCTGACTAGAACCAGGAAGTAGCATCACATTAGTCCAGACTAGAACCAGGAAGTAGCATCACATTAGTCCAGACTAGAACCAGGAAGTAGCATCACATTAGTCCCGGTCTCAGGTCTCTGCTTGGTCTCAAAGTACATCTGTGACATATGAACCATATCAGAGGAGCACAGGGACTGGCCTTCAAATGCAGATTTAAAAAAGTTCAGTTTCGCTGCAACAACTGAAGGATTTTATCTTCACTCTTTTTAATGTACTATTATTATTCATGATGTTTGTCCAGCCCTTTGAGTTGCCTTGTGTGTATGAACCGTGCCATACTAATAAACCATACCGTGCCGCTGTGATCGAGGTCTGTGCCAGTTCAACGACCCCACATCAGCACTAACGTTGTGTACATGCAGTATTTCCTCGCGTGGTAAAAATCAAGAATGAATTTGTCTTTTTGCCCATGAAGGAAAACACAGCTGGTGACATGTCAGATTGATTATAAGTCAGCGGCAGAATGCGAACGCCAGACATCTCTCACACGCCCTTTTCCATCAGGCGCTCGTCGATATCACCTTGGGGAGGCCGGGCTGCGGAGGTGGCTCGCTGAAGTATTTGGTTGATATATGAGCGGACTGCATGGGCTGTGATTGCTGCGTGGCTCAATCACTCAGGCAGATGGAGATGCTCCGAGACAGTTTTAATGACCCTCACCTCTGCAGAGAGCGGCTCCTCGTGCACGTGGACGACGAGGTGTGGATCTGTGGAAAATATTTATCTACAGTTGGATTGTTGTGGTGATGATTCAAGACATTCTGTATTTAAAGGACCCATGTTACGCTTTTGGACTTTTCTCTGCTTTAAACATGATTACAGAGTTATTTTCCCAAAGTAGTTTTTTCATTGATTCTGTCAATCTTCAGTTATTAGAGATCGGTCTCCTTCAGCCTCGGGTCCACATCTGCGACCATTACCAGTCAGATGACCAATATGACGCGCATAAGCCCCTTTGCCTTGTATTTAAAACGTTTCTTTAATCATTTTGTCAAAACGGGGTAAACAATACACAATAAGTATGCTGTTTGTTGTCAGAAATAATAAAATATATAAATAATACTTAGAAACCAAAAATTTAGTTTTTACTTTCCAGGTAAAAAGCAAATGGTGAAGAACTTAGAAAATCAAAAAAATCCAAGGCACTCGTGGTCAATGATAAAAATAATACTAAAAGCCGGGAAGTGATTGACAGATCGAAACAGCAAATCAGAGCTCCCGGGTCCGGTTCGCAGACACCACATGGAGCTACAGTCTTTCTGATTTTGTCAGCGACTATAAGTGTTAGGATCACGTCAACTTGATGAAGGTGAGGGGGAGGTGGGCTCACAGACGCTGTAGACTCAGACTGTAGAACGAGGACTGAGGCTGTAGATCCAGGACTGAGGCTGTAGATCCAGGACTGAGGCTGTAGACCCAGACTGTAGAACGAGAACTGTGGCTGTAGATCCAGGACTCAGACTGTAGAACGAGAACTGTGGCTGTAGATCCAGGACTCAGACTGTAGAACGAGGACTGTGGCTGTAGATCCAGGACTCAGACTGTAGAACGAGGACTGTGGCTGTAGAACCAGGACTCAGACTGTAGAACGAGGACTGTGGCTGTAGATCCAGGACTCAGACTGTAGAACGAGGACTGTGGCTGTAGATCCAGGACTCAGACTGTAGAACGAGGACTGAGGCTGCAGACCCAGGACTCAGACTGTAGAACGAGGACAGGTCCGTCTGGGTCTGGGTCCCAGCATCACACCATGAAACAGACAATGGGACAACGGGTGAATAGCAATGAACAGGCCACAGTCAAAATCCTAATAATGAAGACAGATACTTCTACACTACATTCAGGCCTGTGCTGTCGTTTCTAAACCAGGAAGTGACGGAGCAGTTTGATTCCGGGATACACACAGTACTTCCCCCCAAATATATAATTGTTTTTTGTTGTTGGGAATGTGTTTTTTGTGGAGCCACGATTGTGAAAAAGTGTCCTTCGTCTCAGCGAGTCCCGAGCTTTGGGTGAGAGATCCCGGAACATTAAAGTGACTGGCAGGGCATTTATTAGATCATTAAAGAAGAAAGAATTGAGTGCCTCACAATGACTTTTCTCTTTGATAGCTGCCATTACGCTCCACCGTTTTAATAGAGAATAAATGAGAGATGCATGAATTGCCTTTCAATTCTTGACCTCCACTCATCTGCAAGCGGGGATGGCTGCCCTGCTCCACGTCCCTGATTGAGGTGGAGGTTTATATTATGGGAATAAATAAAAGTTTAAATGTCAATCAGAGCTGTAGTGGAATCGCTTCACACTTTTGACCTATCGGAGGTTTGTCTGTGTGTGCGTGTGTGTGTCTGGGTGTGTCTGTGTGTGTGTCTGGGTGTGTGTGTTCAAGCAATTTTTACAAGACTACTCAGTATTTTGCACCATAATTGCCTCCTGTCAGAAATGTCTGAATGAGCTGATTGCAGGGAATAAGACAGGACATGGGTGGCCCTCATTAACGCATCAGTAGCAGCAGCAGATGTGGCAGATTGAGAGACAGGCCAACACACCCAGACACACGTACAGAGACACACACAGACACACGTACAGAGACACACACACACACACACGCAGATTGAAAGACAGGCTAACACAGACAGACATCCCCTCAGCGGAAATTCTCTCAAATGGTCACAGAGAGATAAGTGATACAGGATCCATGATTTCAGCCGTTCAGTTCGGGGTGTTGTAATAGGCTAAAAGTTCAGTTCAAAACCTGTCTTCAAAGATAAGAAGAAAACATGTATATAATGAAAAGAATCTGCATTATTATTGGTGTTTTAGTATGGCACAAAATCACAACACAGCCTCCATCCCGGTCATGCATGAGATGGAGGCACACACATACGTGAAAAAGTAGTCCAGGGGTAGTGTCGCATAAGCCGGCATAAAATTAGTCTAAGTGCGTGTGGGGCCCATGGGTTATGAAAAACTGTGTTTTTTGAAATAGCTCGCCAAAAATTATTTAACATATACGTTACCAAAAGCTAGTAAGGACTAGTAGCTAGTTGTATAAGAACAGTACTTTAGGTTATAATCTCAATATTAAACAACTAGAAACGACTCTGGGAGAGAGGAGGCAGAAACGATATATACATGTGGTTTGCACCAGGGCTGTGTCCAAAACGCCAGGCATCGGGCAGCGTATGGTGCCGGTCAAAGTCATTTTCCATATCAACCCGACAGACCTGTGGACTCAGCACCTGCAGGAGGATCAGTGAGGGGCTGGTGCTCTGTGGACTGGGTGCAGCTCTGACTGCCACCCCCCCGACCCAGAAATGGATTAAGGGGAAGAAAATGGATGGATGGATGGATGGATGGAACCCGACAGACCAGTTGAAAGCTGTAGAGTTGCCACAGGACGTGTCATCAGCCTACGTCAGCAGCCGCGGACTGCTATGAAAACATTAGCTTTGTGGTTTCACAGTTGACTGCTTAAACTAAACTTTACACAAAACTTTGACTCTTAAAATTCGTTCGTATTATAACTTTTAAAGCTATTCACGGACCGCCATCTTGGTTTGCTTCAGCTGCCATGAGACGCGCATGCGCAGGTCTGCATTACATCATCAGTGTTGCCAACTTAGCGACTTTGTCGCTAGATTTAGCGACTTTTCAGACCCCTATAGCGACTTTTTTTCAAAAAAGCGACTAGCGACAAATCTAGCGACTTTTTCTGGTGTTATTGGCGACTTATCTGGTGTTTTGGCGACTTATCTGGTGTTTTGGAGACTCGTGAAGCACGTATTGTTCTGCTGTCCTCAACGTGAGCCCCTCCCCCGTCCCAAAGCACTTACAGGCGGCCAGTCTCACAGTAGCCTTGCGCAGCAGTCCCAGCTACAGTCTATGGGCGGAGCAGAGAGAGAGAGAGGAGACTCAAAAGCACAGGGAGTTTTCAGGCTGCTGCAGACTGAACTTCAGCTCCACCACCACCACACATCCAAAGCTCCCCCCGCCACTCCTACCACCGCCACCCCCCACTACCCCCCACTCCATCCGCGGCAGCTCTGTCCGTGACTCTGTTTTCTCTCAGTAGTGGGTCACATTAAATCATTTGTTATGCCAAACTATGAAAAAAAAAAAAAACTTACAAAAATAAACCTAAGTAACTCTGCCAGAGTGTGTCTTTTGGGTCACTTTGCCGGTCCCAAGCCCGGATAAAGGAGGAGGGTTGGTTGTAGAGCTAGCAATTTCACCCTACATAACAATCTTTTGATTACATTTGCTGTTATAACATTTAACAATACAGGACAAAACTGATGTGTGTATTGTGGATCTAGACAAAGCATTAAAATCATTAAATGTTGTTAATGTTGAAATTATTTTTGTACATTTGTAGTTCTAAACATATTTAGGGTGTTTTTACTCACTTTTGTCTCTCCCACGACCTTATTCCTCTCTCCTACAGCGTCCGTTACAGTTATTTGCAAATGGCTAATTATGCAAATTAGGCGATGACGTCATTTAGCGACTTCTAGCGACTTTTGGGACAGCCAATAGCTACTTTCCTTACTGAGGAGTTGGCAACACTGTACATCATTCATTACATCATTTACAGCTGAGCGGCACAACTCGACAGAACACCGGCAACAAATGAGCGCCTCTCACTGGTGTCAGGGGCGTCAGGAGCTTCAAGCACCAAGGCGTTCAGACTGGGCCCAGCGACAAACAACGCGCGTTAAAAATGTTTTGAAGATTTTGGTCTGAACAATAAGTCTCGTCCACACTTGGAGCAATTTTCAAATCTGCAGTAGTTCAAGGCACACTTTTCTCCGCTGTGGTCCCAGGGTAGTACCTGGGGTGTGTGGGGTGCCGTGGCCAGGCCCGTGGTGGTGGTGGTGGTGGTAGTGAGGCCCGTGGTGGTGGTGGTAGTGAGGCCCGTGGTGGTGGTGGTAGTGAGGCCCGTGGTGGTGGTGGTGGTAGTGAGGCCCGTGGTGGTGGTGGTGGTGGTGAGGCCTGTGGTGGTGGTGGTGAGGCCTGTGGTGGTGGTGGTGGTGGTGGTGGTGGTAGTGAGGCCTGTGGTGGTGGTGGTGGTGGTGGTAGTGAGGCCTGTGGTGGTGGTGGTGGTGGTAGTGAGGCCTGTGGTGGTGGTGGTGAGGCCTGTGGTGGTGGTGGTGGTGGTGGTGAGGCCTGTGGTGGTGGTGGTGGTGGTGGTGGTGAGGCCTGTGGTGGTGGTGGTGGTGGTGGTGGTGAGGCCTGTGGTGGTGGTGGTGAGGCCTGTGGTGGTGGTGGTGGTGAGCCCTGTGGTGGTGGTAGTGTGGCCCGTGGTGGTGGTGGTGACGAGGGAGAGCTGACCCTGCACAGGGGGCTCTATCTGGGGGTGTGTTGCAGAATGAAGTGGCCTGATGCTGGAGGAATAGCATGAAGATGATGTTGCAGCAGTGCCGAGGGCCGCATGTGGCTGAATGGTTATTGGGTCTGAAGTTCCTTTCGTCCCCGCTGTGTCATGATCAACCTCCGTTAATTTCTCTGCACCACAAAGAGAGAAAAAAAAACAGATTTTTAGTTAAATAAAAAGGCAACATGCTGATAATAATAATTACCATGAAGATGAATTTGGATTTGATCCAGGCTTTCATTCTGCATTGCTCCAAGGCCAGCAATACTTTGCCGACCATTGACACCTCCGGTGTTCTTTGAGGTTGTCGGTAATATTCCCGATGGATCCGGATGTCGTGACCCAAAAATCTTGCCGGTGTGTCCTGCTCGTGTTCTTTCATGTTGAGTACAGCCAACAGGTCTCTTTTCGAAGCCTGGTTGATGACAACATTGTGGGATTTTTGGCTCCACATTCATGGGCGATCCGCCTTATTGCATCCAAACCCTGCATATATGTAGGCGCGCCCGGCCTTGTAAAAAAGTATGGGTTATCATTTGAGACAGAACCAGCCGCTCGGTTCTTCACCAATAGCTCCATAGCCTCGACCATTTCTGGGGTCAAGAGAAGCGGGACCCCACGGCCTCTCTTCCCCCTAATTTCAATCCGTTCAAAATGCCGAAATAGAATTCTCTCCGGGTTCAGACAGTCCCAAGGCCACTTCAGAATTTACCCTTCTCTCACTTCTCAAAGTAGAGGCTGTGACGGGCATCTTGGACACCTCACTCTCCCTGCGCCGGTTGAAAGTGATGATTTCACACAAGGGTAATTCAGCTTGTTTCGTCCAGTGTTTACGGTTGGGTGTATTATTTAGGTTATTTAAATATTTACTCCGACACTGGTCCATGTCTCTGTGGTGGGGAGAAGTGTGGACTCAGTGGGAGCTGTGCTGGAGAGAAGGATGAGGGCTCTAATGCAGTGCATCCTGGGTAACTCCAGACACCCTCTGCATGACACTATGGCCGCTCAGAGGAGTCATCGAAGCAATAAAGAGCGTAATACAATGTAATATAAAATACACATACACTGTAAATAAATGAATAAAAAAAAAGCTGACACTTTGGCACCGATCAACAAAAACGATACAAGGGGTAAAAGCAGGAATTAAAGTGCTCTGTTTAGGCACCTTACAGCCTGTGGAAAGACGCTGTTAGCGTAACGAGATGTCCTGCATCTCAGAGAGCGATATCTTCTGCCAGAGGGAAGAAGCTGGAACATGGCTTTCCCAGGGTGGCCAGAAGAGTCATTGATGATTTTAAGAGCTTTGTTTAAAAGTCTGGATTTATAAAGAACCTCCAGAACAGGAAGCTCACAGCCCACGGTCCTCTTTGCAGAGCGGAGCACCTTGTTTAAAGCTCTCTTTTCTTTATCTGTGATGTTTCCGAACCACAGACACAGAACCAACAAGTAAACAAAGTCTCTCAAAACCCCAAAATTGTGTTCCCGGCACCCCTTCCTAAATCAAACTTAACTTTCCGTGCTTTTGAGTTTAAAGGTAGATACAATAATAATAATTATAATAATAATCTTTATTTGTATAGCACTTTTAAAAACAATGTTTACAAAGCGCTGCACAGTCAGCATGATAAACAATAAAACAGTCATAATACAAGGTCAAAATAATTAGATACACAAACACAAAGCAAACAGAGCAAAACACAAAAGAGACACAATAAAGACAAAGCAGACATTAAAATAAAGCATGTGAAGTTTAAAACTAACAGTTAAAAGCTGTTTGATAAAAGTGGGTTTTAAGAATGATTTAAAAGAGGATACTGATGGAGCCTTATCTCCTCGGGCAGGTCGTTCCAAAGCCGAGGAGCCCGGACAGAGAAGGCTCGGTCTCCTTTCGTCCGGAGCCTCGACCTTGGAACAGTCACAGGGACCTGCCCGAGGATCTGAGGCTGCGCGGGGGCTCGTAGGGGGTTAAAAGTTCAGAAATATAGCTTGGTGCCAGACCTAAATGAGCTTTAAAAGTAATCAGTAAAATCTTAAAATCAATTCTAAAACGCACAGGGAGCCAGTGGAGGGACGCTAAGACAGGGGTGATGTGCTCCCTTCTGTTAAAACCAGTGAGAAGTCTGGCTGCTGCGTCTGGACCAGTTGGAGGCGGGAGAGGGATTTAGCGTCGAGACCGGAGAGGAGGGCGTTACAGTAGTCGAGGCGGGAGAAGATGAGGGCGTTGACGACTTTATGGAGATCGGGAGGAGTGAGAATGTTTTTAATCTTTGAGATGGTGCGGAGGTGAAAGAAGCAGGTTTGGGTGGTTTTATTGATGTGGGAGCAGAAGGTGAGGTGAGAATCGACACCGAGGTTACGGGCGGAGTGATGTTTGAGGACAGGGGGCCGAGGTGGGTTTGGAGGTGGGATATAGATGGAGGCGGGTTGATGAGGAGGACTTCTGATTTGGAGGTGTTGAGTTGAAGGAAGTTGTGGGCCATCCAACGGTTCACATCGTTAAAACAGTCGACCACAGCAGACTTCAGGGTCGTTTGGTCTCAGCGGGAGGTAGATCTGTGTGTCGTCCGCAGAGCAGTGGAAGGACACGTTATGACGGGCCATAACGTGTCCTAGGGGGAGCATATAAAGAGAAAATAAAATGGGACCTAAAATAGAACCTTGCGGCACACCACAGGTAATGGGGGCTGTAGAGGAGGTAAAATCACCCATGGTGACCGCAAAGGTTCTGTCTAAAAGATAAGAATGAAACCAGCCAAGTTCAGTATCTCTGATGCCAACCCACGTTTTGAGGCGATCCAATAAAATCTTGTGGTCGATCGTGTCGAAAGAATTAAAATAGATGCATTCGCTACGGCACTATCGGTTGTTTTTTGGCCTAATGACGGGACATTTTGTGGCATGATGAGACCGTGCTGTTTGCTGTAAATCCGAGAACCGGAGGCGTTTATCTTCATTTTCATGTTAACAATCTTATCTGAATTGGATTCCTCATCCTCTGAGTCTTGAAAAAACACATTCTTAGCTTTTCTTTGTTTAAACTTATTGACAGGTTTTTTATGCCTAAATTAGTGCCCTCCGTAGAATCTTCTCTTATGAATCGCCTGACATATTCTCCAGAATCTGATTTGAAGTTTTTATCAAGCCGCATGTGCAGAAATAATTGTAATAATTGTCCGGGCGAAACGAGTGCACTGAGAGACAGAGACACACACAAAAAGAGAGATACACACACACACACACACATAGAGAGATACACACACACACATACAGAGACAGCAAGAGACACACTGCTGGGCGGCACGGTGGCTGAGTGGATAGCACTCTCGCCTCTCAGCAAGAAGGTCCTGGGTTCGAATCCCAGTCGGACCAGGGCCTTTCTGAGTGGAGTTTGCATGTTCTCCACGTGTCTGCGTAGGTTTCCTCCGGGTACTCCGGTTTCCCCTACCACTAAAAATATGTCCAATAGTTCTGGAATGTGTCTGGAATCCTGTTCAGCGACCCCGCTCCCATCTCTGTGTGGAGTGAGAGACAAATGCCCAAAAATAACAATTATAAACCGCTTTGTGACTCTGGTCTGTGAAAGGCTGTGTATAAATAAAGATTACTTACTTACTTACCTCACACATACAGAGACACACACTTAGAGCCAGAGAGACACACACAGAGAGAGACAAACATACACACGCACACACATACAGAGAAACACACACACATACATACACACACAGAGAGAGACAAACATACACGCACACACACACACACACACAGAGGGACACACTGTGTTAATGTCATATTAATGAATGTGAATGTATTTAATCCAAATCCCATGTGGCTGAAATCCCTCTGATGTTATTGGGACCATGGGAGTCCAGAGACCAGGAAGTCTGGGCCACAGGAGCTGCTGGTGTGTGTGCAGATGGATGTTGTTTGAAGTATTGTGTACTGCTGTTTGTTTGCATTTGTAAAAGTGTGTTTCATCCTGTATTAAAACCCTCCTGCTGTGACGAGAGGCCTGAGATGTTCTGCAGCAGGTCTCTGTCGGAAAGTTAAAGAAACTCACACATTCTTTTCTGTTTGTGTGTTTTTGGCAGGGTTTAACTATAGTTAGAATCTGCATTAACACACACACACACCGGAGCATACACACAGAGACATATCCATGCACACACACACCGGAGCATACACACAGAGACATATCCATGCACACACACACCGGAGCATACACACAGAGACATATCCATGCACACACACACCGGAGCATACACACAGAGACATATCCATGCACACACACACAGGGCCATACACCCACTTGCTCACATACAAGAGCACACAAGCACACACACACACAAGCATGCACACACACATGCATATCCACAAACACACAGGAGAGCACAACACACACAAGCATGCACACACACAAGCATGCACGCACACACACACAAGCATGCACGCACACACACACAAGCATGCACACACACACACAAGCATGCACACACACACACAAGCATGCACACACACACAAGCATGCACACACACACACAAGCATGCACGCACACACACACAAGCATGCACACACACACACAAGCATGCACACACACACAAGCATGCACACACACACAAGCATGCACACACACACAAGCATGCACACACACATGCATATCCACAAACACACAGGAGAGCACACACACATAAAGTAGTATACAAACACACACATATCCACACACAAAAGCACACACACATATCCACACTCTTCGACAACAGAAATATAAAAATATTAAGGTTTTGTTATTTTAGTTTTTATGAGTAAGTAAGGAATAAATATGACCGTTCTCTTGTTTCTCAGAAAAGTATTACAAAAGTACTTTCAAAGTAACACTCATTTATTTGATGTTAACTTATCAAACGTCAGCTGCTGTGAAATCCGAAGTACTCTGCATAAGTCATCATCCAGCCACC